GGCTGCATCGTTACCACTGTCCGGGCTGCCGATGAGGGAGGGGTGGCACAGGGGTCTCCGGGCACTGATTTCGCACTCGGCCGACAGGAAAGACTCCTCGGCTTTGCTGCTGCTGCTGTGGGGCGCGGCGGGACGGTGGTGATGCTGGTGCTGATGCTGACCTCTCCGGCTCTCTGCCGCGCGTTCAGGGAAGTGTGTCGGTTTCCTCGCCGCAGAGGAGGACTTCAGTAAGGAGGTGGTGGATTCCGATTTTGGAAAGGAGGCGCTCATTGCTGCAGATCTGCTCTAGTCTGTCGCTGTGGGTTGATCGTCGATATCATGCACCGATTCCTCTCCATTGGCGACCCATAATAGCACAGCAGCCAGAGCCTGCCCGCGTGAAGTTAGGATACATCTCACCACCTGATTGCTGTGCGGCAGCGCGCGCACACAGAGGGGCACACACGTCGCTGCAGCGCGTCACCCTTTCATTGATGTGAATGCTGGTCCCTGGTATCCTGGCAATGACGTGGGTGTGGATGTATAGTGAGATATACACCTATCAGAGGTGAGCTAACTTTCCCATGACAAAGGCAGACCAACCAGATATACATTCCAAAGCATACGTATTGTTGCTATAGGGGTGATTCGAATTATGCAAAATGTAAGATACATATCATTCTGGGTGTGGACACAACATCCTTAGAAAATATACAATATACAATCCCACTTATAATGAATTCATATGTAAAGCCATTAATGATCCTATATTGCTAAGGATATGGCAGCAAAATGTGAGTGAAGCTTTTAAACATAAAGTGTGTTTTGTTGGCTTTGCTCTCCCAGTGGACAACATTGAATTTAAACCGTATTGTGTCTATCGAGAGCCAGATTAACCTGCTCTGGGGCCTCAGTGCAAAAATGAGGCATGGTTCCCCATCCCCCCATATCATTAGTTATACACTGAAATGACTCATGCAGGTAAGTTAGTCTGTGATCCTTTGCTTTAACACAAACGCGTTCAAAGTTATGCATTATTTGGGCATACTATTGTTGAAACAGGGCATCCCTGTATGACAGGGCCTCAAGATTGTGAAAAAGTCAAGTAGCAACCTGGCCTAGTGCCTTAAATCTTTATGCTTTCTTATGGCCAGGAGGGGGCGACGCCTCCGGTTGCAAAACGAAGTCAGATTACACAGAAGTTTATGAGAAAATGTAGTGATGTCAGAGCATACTGCTCAAAGGATAACCCTTGAGCATACTATACTTGTATGCACTTCATATTGTTATCCCCTCGCACAATGCTACAGTCCTGCTCTCTCTCAAACGAGCTTCACTTACACTGCTGCTGTGTTTAATATCCTGAGCAGTATTGTAACAATAACTACTATTACCTTCTTTAATAATTAAAGAGCTGTGACACTGAAACAAAAACAATTATGTTCCCATAAAACATGCACTTTATAAATACGAGCAGTAAGGGCTTTCTATTATTGGCATCAACCTCACATCAGCATGTGCCTCTATCCACCGACGTTACAGGCCTACAGATGGTGCAACACTTGAACATCTTTAAACTAAAATGAGATCAGAGGCAGAGGCAAAGATTTTCCCAGTGAGTGATGCAGACTTGTGTTCAGCATCCTTTTCAGTACAAGCAGGTGTAAGGCCTAATAACCCTATGTATTCTTTATGAACCCATGAAACCAAAATGTATGAGTGATGAAGGCACTATATTTATGTAAAGAGAGACACTAGAAAAAACAAATCATTTGGAGAGGTTGGGTTATTTTGCTGCCTTAAGTTGTGTTCTTTCAGACTAGTGAAAAGAAAATATCGAATTAGTTTGTTTTGTTGCACTGTGACTATTTGTGTCTGTACAGGACAGTTAGCATTAGATATTGCCTAATTTGCATATGTCAACTTGCAAAAAACTGAACCATACATCTTTTTGTTATTTTTTCATTACCCTGTTCTGTCTTGCAAAATGTATGCATGTTCACAATAAGTTATTTTCATACTATCTGAGTGATTTGCCCAATAGGTAACCTTGTTTATATAACATTTATTCGTAAAAGCATAGCTCAACTCCCCTCTGTAAAAAAAACCTTCGACTCTTACATGTGAATGTATTTAGTTACTCAATAACATAATGTGTCATATGTATATTTAAAAATATTTTTTCAGAAAAAGTTGTAGTCCACTGGAGAGTTTTTTATGGTGATAGCCATTCGTTAAAATGTTTTCCCATGTTGTGGTGTCTCTCCTTCACATCATGTAATATTGCCTCAGCATTTGAATGCTTCTGGCTTCAAATTCTCCAGAGGGAGTGTGACAAGAAATAATTGCTGTGGAATCAGAGCAGCGACAACATCATTGCACGCTTCCCTGTGCCACCTATTTAAAACTGCATCTGAGTGAAATAAGACAAAACAATCTATTTGTCCCCTTGTTTTTCATTATGTGTCTTATCACTACCAGAGTGCCAATTCTGCAGAAGGCAATAATCTCCAACATTGGTCCTGGTGTGTTGTAATCAGTATTTCCTATTTAGTGTTGCAGCAGTTATTTTAATTAATGAAATGGTCGATTCAGCAGAACATGCAGAGGTGGGACCGAGTCATTGTTCTGCAAGTCCCAAGAAAGGCTCAAGTTTTTGCAATTACTTCTTAGGTCAAGTCTATAATCAAGACTTTTAACTCTTATGTCAACACCAATAGGAGCCAAGTCCAGTCCTGAGTCCTACACTTGAGGAAGTTTAAATTAATTCGTAATGTTTTTTTTGGTTACCAGCATGTAGTTTTTGTACTCAAAAGAAATAATTTTGGTATACACTTTTTCCAATTGGAGCTCAGTAACGTAGCGTTAGTTTTTCTCTACTGCACCTTGATTGGATGATGTCAATGTGGATCTAAGGAATGAAGTGTCGACTTGCTGGGAAGGAGAAGGGAGATTTAGTAAATGAAAGTAAGTTAATCGACTCGTGGCATACATACCGTACAAACAATTGAGTTTTTGGGTTTGAGTGAGGTGAAAGTTTTAAGTACTTTAAGTCAAAAGGCTCACTTCCAAGTGAAGTTACCAGTCATTGATGGCACTGGTCGAGTTTCAAGTCTTTTTCGGTTTAGTCAAGTCAGGTCTAAAGTCATCAAATGTGTGTCTCGAGAACAAGCCATGGCATGTGACTTCTCTGATCAAAAGAAGTCTGTGTAAAAGTGACACATGTGACAACAGCTGGTTAAATAAGAGACTCAACCATTTATTAAATGTACAGAAATACTGTTCAAAATCCACAGAAGAACGTGTTGGAGGACAAATCCTTAATTCTAATGTAAACAAAATGGCTGCCCCATCATACACTATATATGTAAAGCAAATGCTTTGGGAATGACCTTTTTCATACTCTTAGGATAAACAGCACTGTTGATTTTAAACCTAATTATGGACAGCTCAATGTGAGTGTCGGCGTCGTGTAAACAGCGTGTAAATCTTTTTGTAAACATTACATTTTAATAGATGGGTATCTTGAATTGCTATGGACCTGTAAAGCTGAAAATTAATTTTCTCTACCTTTAGTGCACATATATTCATGAAGTGCTGTTGAAGAATTAAGGATTGTGGCTTTAATTATGGCGCAAAACTCCTGCAAATGTGCAGAAGTGGTTTTAAAAAAAATACTTCACAGTACAACAGAGATAGTACTTCATAAACATTTTACAGAATCTACAAATGTAATCAAAATGACTTGATGGCTGGCTTTTTGAGAACGGAGAATGAAATGCATTCGCTGTAGCTGTAAATCAAGACAACACAATAGTTATAGCATTGAAGACAATCATCTCAAATCATCTCAGACCGCTCGTTTTTTTTTTTTTACCTCAACCCTATTTACAGAAATACAAACCTGATATCAAATACAACCAAATTACAAGAGTTTAGTAAATTTACCAAAAACGCTTCTTATCCAGCACAGGCCGACTCACACAATTTGACCTAAAAATGTGCTTTTCTAACCGACTCTTTTGTAAGCAGGATTGATTTTTTCAAAGGGGAGCACAATAAACCATAAACTACCACATCGGCAGGAGTCAGGACAAAGACATTAGCTGCGTCTGTAAACATTCATGACATCATCAACATTGGACCTCAGTTATCAAATATCTATCAAAGCACATATGAATAGAATAGATGATTACACAAATTATAACTTTATTTAGGTAACCAAATCCCAATGAAATAGCAGGTTCTGCATTTCTTTCGTTTAGGTATACACATTTGATTTAGAGCCCCAATTGTGCATCCTGTAAGTGATTAAACGGACATTTACAGAATGACACTGCATTTGCTTATTTTACCATTAATCAGTTTTAGGAAAGCTACACCTCCCCGTTATATGGCTTAACGTGTTTATGACAATAGTTTGAACAGGAGGCTTTAAGTCATCCAGCAATGTAGCAATGATGGCTTTGCTTTAGCTTCACTTACTTTAGTTGATGTACATAGGCACTACTATCACTGAAAATGTCACTATTTTACTACGAAGAGAATTACCCTCTCATCATGAAAACAGTTAAAAAGTGTGTAACAGTAATGAAAAATGTGTAACCTCACTGACAACCAGGGGCGCCCCCTGGGATTTTCGGCCCCATGAAAAGATATCACAATGGTTACTTAAACATTTTTTTCTTAAAGGTGGGGTATGTAATTTGGAGAAACCAGCTCGAGTGCGCTAGAATTTGAAAGTACACAACCGGAGAAAATCTGCCTCTTCCTTCAGACTTCCTTACAGAGCCCCTCCTCCAACACACACGAACGCGCACACGACCAATGAGGGCACGAGATAAGTTTGTGCACAGATGGAAGGCTGACAGGCAGGTAGGCCATCCAGTTATTTTAGCCGGGCCGGCTAAAATGATTGGTTGTGCTTTTTACAGCGCTACAGCTTCCACAGATGAAATGTTTTCATGTATTTATTGTCAAAGCATTTAATATATTCATTGCTATCGGGATGTTAAGAGCATTCCATGGAATATAACAAAAAGTGTTTCTGAAATAAATTACATACCCCACCTTTAATGTTCTAAAATGGTTTGGGCCCCTGTCAGTCACGGGCCCTTAGAATCGTCCTAACTTTTCACCCCCTTACGACGCGCCTGCTGACAACCGTTTTTGTGTGAATAAAACAATGCATCTTAAGTGTGACCGGATGTGTTGAGTAATATAAAAAGTCTAACGATCAAATGTTTAGCCCTTGCAAAGATATAGGTGTAACAGTAAGTGTAAAGCAATCAGTGTTAGATGTTAAGTGCAAAGTAATACCACCAACAAGTGGGGATAACTCCGGACCCATAAATGCCAACTCAATGACTTCAGTTCATTCAGACTATGTGGCCTTATGGCTCCATACATACTGTAAAGCAGAAGTGTAAGATGATGACGGTTATTGTTTGGCTTGCTTTGAGCCATTTATCAAATCTGTAATGTACTTTGCTTGTTACTGTTGAACAGTTTCAAGCAGAAATTAAACTAATTTGAGATTTACAAATAATCCTATATGGGTAAAGTGGGTCCAGAACAGATTTGATTAACTGTTCAGTCACAGCATTCATCTATATGCAAATGCATTAACATTCAAAGATTCAAAAGGTCCCTGCCATGTTATTTAGATGGCTCCATGAACAATCGTGCTCCTGCTAAGTTTTGCAAAAAATCTACTTTCAATTGTGGCTGCCTTTTATTACACATGAATGATAAAAGAGGCCCAATGTTTGGTCATCTGCTAAGAGAGTTATGAGATAGGAGACGGAGAATATGTACACAGTGGATGTGAGAGCTGGTCTGGAGGCAGAAAAAGAGATGCTCCCCAATCATACAGACACCTCCCTAAAACGCCATCTGTCTCTCTGTCAGACACGGTTTCTCACTCACACCTATTTCCCTTCTTTGTCCTCTAAGCGACCTGGAGTAAAAATGTAGTCCAAGGCTTGTCTCTCAGCAGCGGCCACATTAGGGTGCCAGAGGTCCACCATGAAGACCACCCGGGGGCCGTCCTCTGCACCGCCTGCACACACAGGAAAAAACAAGACATTTGTGATGATCTTTGATATAAAACCCCGTCAAACTCATTAAAAATGCTCTCAATTCACTTTGCTGATAATACCGTTTTTAGGGCAATCCTTTATGAAGAAGGAAATAAAAAAGGGACAGGATGCAATAAAAGATTCTGTTTTAATCCCTTCTTACCCTCGTGGAAGGCCCTGTGGAGGAAGGAGTCATCGAATAGCAGACAGCTGCCCTCAGACCAGCACTGTGGCTCTCCACCAACCACCAGCTCGCAGGAGGGGGGCACTCTGAGACCTGCCAGAGGAGGAAAATAAAAGGTCAATTATGGGACAGCAAACTGAGTTTCTCAATGTTTCAATTAGTTAGATTTAAGACTTTTTTTACGACCATATAAATAAAATGCACCCATTTGTATTTTGCAGGCAGAAGTTTAGGGAAAATTGGAATGAATATGAATAATTCCTATTATTAATTTACACACATTCATGTTTTGATATTTTCAAACAATACAATATAAGAGCAATGTAAGTCTCAATCTAGTTATACCTGAAATCTAGATCTGAAGAGGCTAGTAGTTTAGCTTTATTGATGTGCTCGAGGAATATCTGATTGGGGTGGAAAACCTTCATTTAAATTGTGGTTCTGTTGTCAGACAAGCAAAAATTAAATAAATGTTGAAAGTTAAGATAACAGTATAGCATTAACTTTAAATACAAAAATTGAATTTAAACAGTTTGAGAAATCTTCCTTCAACACCTAATTTGGTATCTCCCAGGTGACTTATCCCAGGAAAAATGCTCTTTGCTAAGAGCGTCCCGTATTATTACGGTTTTAAATCATCCTACTAAGTCTCTTTCTTTAAGAATAAGCATCAACATTTATAGCCATCTCACAAGGTGCATTTGTAAATAGAATCAAATCTCAGGTGCAATCGAAATTATAAAAACAATCACATTAGCCACAAAATGTCAGCCGTTATGACCAAAGAGGATCCACATGTTCAGCCTTAACACTACAACAGCTGGGTCACCCCTCCCCTGTAGTTAAAGACCCCCTCACATCACATGGTTGAACGAGTAAACCGCTCTCTCTCTCACCCAGGTGGCAGCGCAGCCGGACGTTTGTTGGACCGTAATGCTCGGTGATCAGCGCTCCAGGAGTCAGCACGGAGAAGCAGGCGTTTCCGAACACGTTGTTGGCAATGAAGGTGCGCAGCTGGCCCAGCACCCTCCAGGCCCGCGGACACCTCCTCACGTTGAGAACCAGGGGGGTGCCTTGGTTGACCAGGTAGTAGGTCCACCACTGCCCACGTGGGGTGTTGTTGGATTTCCACCCTGGTGGCAGGGAGGAGCCGCTGCGGGCCGGGGGCTGGTGGTAGATGCTCTCAAACTCGGCCATGAGGGCGGGGAAGCTCTGCTCCAGCAGCTCCACGTCATGTCTCTGCACTTCTCTGGAAAAGAACGGGGCTGAGGGGAGGTCTGGGAGGAAGAACACCTCTGGCCGCTGGATGGTGGGTCGGCTGTTTAGGTATCGGCCTTGATCACGGACTCCTTTGTGCACCCTGCCCATTCCTGACCAGGTGTAGCGTTTGGCGTAGTCCTGCAGGCTGTGATAGAGCTTCTGGTTCAGACTCTCTCCAGCGCTGGTGCATCGGAAGCAGTCTGACGACTGGCAGAAAGCGAAGCCGTTCTGCTCCTCCAGCATCGACCCCTGCTTCCCTTTGCCCCTGTTTCGGCAGTCTGAACTCATGAAGCCCCCCACCACTCCTCCGATCCGACTGGGCCCAGACAGATACCTCCCACGCAGGGGGCTGGAGCCGTGCTCGCGGCCCACCCTGTAACAGTACCACATAAACAGCAGCAGCACACACATGGCTATGGCAAAAGCACAGATCTCACACTCCCTTATGGACTGCATGCCTCCAGCCACCATCTCTCTCACGTTCTCCAGTGACCACTCCATCTCGGCTCGGATTGCTGAATCTGACGTTGGCTGGAAAAAGTGCTGATGAAAGATCAGTTAACACGTCTTTTCTTGATTGTGATTGAAAGGGGCATTAAACCACACACAGGGCGTTAGTGAGTATAGTGTCAAGCAGCTCTTATTGCCCCCCCTACGGTAAACAGTCTGCTGATTCGATCTGACACTCTTGCTCTTCAGTCCTAACATTTCAGCACTCTGCAGCGAGGGAAGGATTCGCCTTGCATGATGTCTGGCTGTGCGGTATTTGTGCTGCTCCCTCTCTGCTTCTTTCTCTTAGATAAATGCAGACAGACGCCGCGCCTTAGGGGTAATCTGTTGCCTGAAAAACAAAAAGACAGAGGCAGAGACAGAGGGATGATGAGAGAGAAAGGAGGATACTGTAAGTGGCATTGGGGGAGACGCTGCAATTGATATGATGTATCCTATTAACTGTTAATGAGTTGGCATGCAGAATGAGGGATCGTAACAATTTGCTTTGTGTCTTCCTCCTCAGAGTTTGGGCATCCTGTATGCAGCACACCTGCTGAAACTCACCCACACACTGTGGACTTCAAAATGACTGCACCCCATTCACACACAAACACACACACACTTTGGGCACAATTTGGAATTCACACACTCCTGCACTGCACTGTATAAAAAACCATGAGTCATTGGCACATTGCTGCATTTAACACATACATCTCCATTTAACATTTGTGTGCACCACGCATACAGAAGCCCACACTACACAGTGAATTATGTAAACTTAAAACCCACCCACATGTACAGTATAATTGGCATTCATAGGTTGCTCAGCAGGAGCTGTATAAATGGATCCTCGGAGGTCTGTTTAAACCTATGTGGCTTTAATTCTTTTTTTTAGGACTGAATTACATGATTATATAATAATAATGGACCAGCAGCCAAACACTAGGAGTGCAATGCGTCAACTGTGATCAGAACTCCACGATGCTCTCTCTCCAAAAATGGTCGGGTAATCCTGCTCCAATAGATCCTCCCCTACATCCTGTCAGACAGCACCAAGACGCCCCCACATCCCCCGATGTTTTAGGGTAGACTGACAATCCAACCCAACCATGAAATCATCTAAAACACACACTCTCTCTCACACACCCTGCCTAGTTTCTCCACTGTATCCAAGCAATCTCACCACCAGGGCCAAGATGTCACACAAAGTGATGACCAACACATTGATGGGCTCTATCGTTCAATAAGCCGTGGAAAACAAGCTCAACACAGTAACCTAACCACATTGTCTAGAGATGTTTTTTTTTTCTTTGATTCGTGCACAGGTTTCTTGTATCCATACCTATTCAACATTCATGGCTGTGGGGCCAGTGGAGAGAAGAGGCGTACAGGTGTTTCTCCAGGCGAAGCTGCGCACCACTGCAGTACACAAGGTAGACGGATTTCACTCGCCAACATTGTGGGAAATATGTCTCCAAAATGCACAAAAGAAGTCCGAACTGGAAGCGACAGCCATCGTGTAGCAGAGGAAGAATACAAAAGCTGTCTCACCGACGGGTTGACTCCCTGTCTGTCTGTCTGTCTGTCTGTGATGGACAGCAGCGTCGCGAAGGCTTCAGACAAATGTTGTTGTAAATACTGAAGCTCCACCAGGGGAAGCCACCCAGCCTCAAGCGCGCAGGGAACACGCAGCGTTATTTCCGGTCAAGCCTTTCAAAATAAAACTCAACGTATAATTCAATTTGTACCTTCTATGCCCAGGAACCATTTGTCTCTTTGGTTTATATAATGTCTATACTCTATACAGTGTTTCTCTTAAATAAGAATTAACAAAATATAGAGTTGACCCACGTTTTAATAAATTAGTATTTTAGATTTTCAAGTGTGAAACCTTAACAGTGTTTTATAAAAACATGCATTTGAAGGGGGCTTAACACTTAATGGAATAAATGCAGAAAAGTGGTGCCTTTTCAAATGACATGGTTTACATTAGACATGAGCTTCTGTTAAATTATTAACATATTATATTATATATATTAATTAATACATCGTTTTATTAATATTTAAATAATTATAACAAATGAGTCAGCTTCACAGGTATTAGTCGTGTTGACTGACCTATGAAGCGGTCCAGATCTTAAGTAAGGAGTCAAGCGATACAGCATTTATTTACAAATATAATATACATGTGTGCCACCATGCCAGCACGACCACCAAAACAATGGCACAAAGAGTAGTCTTATATTGGCCCCACCCTTAGGTGCTACCAACAACAGGGGTGCCATAGTCAGATCTGTTCAAGTAGAAGACTGAAACACAAGTCAAACAATTATTAACATTACATCAACAGTCTTATTATGTAATGAATTGATTATTTGAAATTAGTACATGAAAAATCAATATTTCAAAGCTACCAAACAAATCTAATATAAACGTACCATCCCCTACTTAACTCTATTCTGTGAACCCTCCCATAAGATAAAAGGTGTTATTTCCCGTGGGACTCCTTTTAACCTACAGAGTTGGAAACAAGAGAGCAAAGGTAAGTGTAGTATGTGTTGCTGTTATATAGATATCTGTACCTTACAACAATGCTGTAAAACTGCATTTAAGACAGTTCTGTTTACTCACACCTGCCTCCCCGCATCTAAAGTACACTCATTTGGTTGAAAAAGAAGATTACCTGCTGATAAAACCATCCAATAAAGCTCTGCAAATGCAACACCTGCTGGTCTCCTTATTTTACAAATGTGCCAATATTTTCCTGTGCAGCCAAGCTTCAGCAGTAACTACAGACTGAGATCACCTCCATTTGGAATTTAATTCTGTTGCACCCAATGTACATTACACAGAAACATAAATACAATTAAAACAAACATTAATACAATTCAATAAAAGTTGAATTATGCTATTAAATGACAATATTATACACCTTTCAGATGCATTCATATGAGTTGCTGGGTGGACAGGTAGCTTTTTTCTGGTTAGACAGACCCAACAGACCCTCAACATTTCTGCATGTGCCCACCCCTCCCGAGGCCTTTGCTGAGGCAATGATGCAACAACTTGTAGTTAAAAGACAGAATGATTGATTGAATAATTAAGAAAACACATGAAAACAAAAAATGACAATAAGAATCTTCAATATTGGCAGCCCTGCTAAAAGACTAGTGATTATGTCTTCCTAATTTACTTTGAAGGCAAAATTGCCTTATTTCCGGTTTTGCTCTGGTAATCTCTCCTGACTTGACTTAATTGAGAGCCTCCCTCTTCCGTATGCCTCATGGCTCGCCCATCGACTACTGTTTGATTGAACTGCAGACAGCATTTCCCAAGATGCATTGCAACGTGACTGGGTTTTGCTCACAGTAATCATAGATCAGTACTTTGACAGTGAACATGTTTGATACATGATACGACAACATGAACATCTTTAACAAAAATAATCCAACTGCAAAGTGAAAATTACGGATGCACTCTTCCCATTGGTTTTCAATTTTAAGGTCTGAAGTGGGAGTTTCTTTGGAGCAACAATACTCATAGAACAAGTAAAGCAACGTTACCATAGCAAAGTTGTAATGCTGATTTTCAGTCTGACAGGCCCAAACTAGTCCTGAATTCCAGCTATTCAACTCGGTTACAGTATAAATAACTCTTTCTGAATAAAAAGGCAGGGCTTTAAACGCAGCACATTTTCAACTCCACTGATACAGTAGCTGTTATACCTGTTGCTGCAGGTGTTACAAAAGCTTGTCTCACTGGGTTATCTGGTACATTGCTGATAAGGAAAGGAATCATTAAAAAAATCAGAACAATTCAAACGACGTAAAAACTCAATTATGAGAATATATCACACATGTAAAAGCCTTTTTGCAATGGTAGAAAAAAGTATTAAGAAGTTTACTTGAGTAAAAGTACTAATACAGTGTAGAACTACCCGGTTACTAGTAAAAATACTATAGCCTACCTATTCGTATGATGCATTAGTTTGTTCATAACATGTGGCAAAGGAGGTGATTTAAATTACATTATAAATGGATGGATTAAATGATAATATATTGTAATCTATTTACAAATTGATATTATTGATAGACAATAAATAAACTCAAGATAGTAAAGCTTCAAAATTACAAGGTGGCTAAAAACAAGCATTCAGGTATTTGAGTATGCACTATTTTACAGCTTTGGCGCTAACCACTGACTGTAAAGTCTGGGGTTATCTTTTGGTTTTCACTTTGCTTTATTTTGTCTTTTGAGTTTCTATTAGTAGGCCTATTACACCTAAAGCCTGCCACCTGAGTTACCCCACAGTATGAGGGCCATAACAGGTTCAGAGTGTGAGGTGAAACCTCCTCAGGGCATGACTCAACAGTTCTCTCCCCTCCTCTCCGGCTGCAGGCGGGTGGAGGGTGGAGCCAGGCCCTGTGAACACCCCTTTCTGATGGGCCAACTAGGCTCCAAATTTGGAAACAACAAGTTGTAACATCTGAGAGGAGTTAGGATAACCTGTAAAGGTGACATTAGACTTGAATGCTCCCCGTGGAGGTCCTGAATCACAACAGTTATGGCGAGCTCAAAAGCGAAGGTGTACACTTGCTGTGCAGTGGTGATGCTGTGCGTGGTGGCTGTTATTGTGTGTGTTGCTGTACTTGTTAGGCACGATTGTCCAGATGGTACTTTCTCCACCGCTGCAGTGGCCGCAGACTCGGCAACATGTTCAAAGATTGCACGGTGAGTAGCCTTTTACACTTCTGTTATGGGTAAAGTTATTATGAAGAGTTGCAGAATTCATATAACCACGTAAACTGTCTGTAACACGGGCAATTAACTTATTCTATTCATACTGTACAAGTAAATGTATCATAGTGACAACCAGTGGCGGCCGGTCCATAGGGGCGCTAGGGGCGCCGCTTCACCTCTTCCCATATTAAAAAATAAAAATAAAAATAAAAATAAAAATAAAAAATATATTTTAAAAAACATATATATTTTTATTTTTATTTTTAATGAACAAGGTAAATATTATATAATTGGTATCAGTAAAATGTATAATCTACAATAAAATCTCGTTTAAAATTGTGTTACGATGTCTAAAGTTACTGATAAGTCACATGTTTCCTGCCTGGCCTTGCCCGTGTACCTTCTCTCGTCTGGGCGCTAAGAGAGGAGCCCTCAACCAGTGCAGCAGCAGCCACTAGCAGCTGACTGTTGCTATCTGTAACATGTAAACTATGCCGCGAAAACATAATTTCAGCCAATCAGCGTCGTCAAATATGATGGTCACAGGGCTCCTACGTGAGCGCCCGGTGCAGTCTGTGAGTTGTTTGGACTCGTATCCAAGGAGACAAAACAGGAAGCTGTCATACACTCTGGAAGCTACCATTTAGCAGCTAATGAAAACTCAGTTTTTGACATAAAAATGGAATTATGGATCATCAATCATTTTTCAAAGTGACAGACACATTGGATTAATTTATGGATTAACCTTCAGCTGCGTTTTTCTCGTTTTTGATCAGAATTGTTATTCTGCAAAAGGTGAGCATATCTCCATGTTTTGCTACCTAAAGCTACGTCGTGTGATGTCTGTATTTGCTTCCCCTGTCGCGAGTTCTGATCGCTCAGTGATGATACTTATATTTCTAGAATATGTGGAATCTCAGCTTGTAAGCTTGTTTGTGCATATCCGATAAGTATATCGATTGATTTATACCTAGAGTGCGTTAGCATTTTTTCGCTCAGGGCTCATTTAGACGCTTCTTGTGAGACTTGTGTTTTGTTTCGGTAAACATGGTTCATATCATCAGTTAGATGCGTTTCCTCTGAGTAGGACACATGAATAGTTTATTACATTTTAAGAAGCCCTGAGACACAGTTTCGTAAAAAAAAAAACGGGGGAAAAAAGCCCCTTAACAGGTTAAATGGGAATTAAATCAGTGTTCCCAGAGCCCCGGTGTTCTGCAGTTTGTGTGGGCCTACTGTACTGTTGCACAGTTTATGCTGTAGAAACTATGTCCAGGACAAGGTGTTTGGAAGTTTTGGAAGATTCATAGCTAACCACACTGAAGTTATGGAGGTATTGATCAGTCTTCTCATATTTTTAAGCCTCAAATTGTCCTTCTCCCCCCCTCTAACATCACCAGAAGTCATGATTTAAGGGGTCTTTTCTCAAAAAAAATTACCGGGGGAGCATCCCCCCGGACCCCTCTAGTATTGTTTGATCACCATTTCCACAGCCCCACCTAAAATATTTTCCACCAGCCGCCACTGGTGACAACAGGTACAACATGTAGCAAAAAGGAAATACATTGGCTTTACTTGTGATGCGTATGACATCTTTCAGGGACATGCTTCAGGGAGGGGGCTCAGCGGTAGATGGCGCCATTGCTGCGCTGCTGTGCACCTCCATCATCAACCCGCAGAGCATGGGGCTCGGAGGGGGGTCCATATTTACAGTGATGGACAGCTCTGGTAACAGCCTCATCCATTCATACAGCAAAAATAATGAGTGTCCTACGCTGGGGACAAAGTGTATTGATAATAACTCTTCTTTTCTTTTTAAAGGCAAAGTGAAAATCATCAACTCCAGAGAGACTGTCCCGGGGAAGTTTAAACCTGACCTGCTGGAGACATGTCCCAAGAGCTTCCTGG